GTGCGTGCGTGCGTGCGTGTGTGCATGTCTGTGTGCGTGTGTGTGTGTGTGTGTGTGTGTGTGTGTATGTATGTATTATGTATGTATGTATGTATGTATATATGTATATATGTATGTATGTATGTATGTATGTATGTATGTTTGTACGTACGTATGTATGTATATTTGTACGTACGTACGTATGTACGTAATTAAGTATGTATGTATGTATGTACGTAGGTACGTATGCACGAATGTACGTATGTCTGTCTGTCTGTCTGTTTTTCTGTGTGCGTGCGTGCTCCCGTGCGCCTGAGTTGTGCCTTTATGTATCTGCCTTTATTCATTATTATTCATTATTCGAACTGTGCTCCGCGCGTTGTATCTGTACAGGCCTGTTTTGTTCCTCAGCCTTTATTGTATTCTACGAATACGCCTGTCAGAACAGAAAAATCGGATCAGAATCAGTATGGGCACAGTAATCAGCTTAGTTGGGGCTCTGGTTCATTGCACCACTGTCATCATTAGAAATTGACATGCTCCCTTCACTGTCATTTACTTCCTTCCTCCTTTTTTCTGTCGGTTATTTTTTCTATCAGTTATGTTTGAGTATTTGTTAGCCTTGTCTGTCTGTCTGTCTGTCTGTCTGTCTGTCTGTCTGTCTGTCTGTCTGTCTGTCTGTCTGTCTGTCTGTGAGAATAAAAAAATAAGTCATTTAAATACGAGGATGCTGTGACAATGTAATTTTCGTTTGTTATAATTTTTTTCCCTCAAAATATCTTAATATAGACTATCGTTACGACGTTTTTCGTCTCTCTTTTCCCTCGATTGGATATCACAACCAACTAGTCAACTCAAATGTGGTTGTGATAAACCTAAATTGCTATAAACGATCAACTTGCTTAAAGTACAGGTATGCACTATTGCTCTTGACTCATAATTTTGAGTATAGATTTCGAAATCCTGTCAACTCCTTTCATGCCACGAATTATGGCAAATTGTTGTAAAAGTAGACTGTGTGCTGTTCACAGGCGCTCTGGTGAGATCTGCTTCTACTTTCTCATCAAACAGCTATCGTACTTATCTGTCAATCTTCTTTTCTTTTTGTGTTACTCTCTAGTTTTAACGTCTCTAATCTCTAATATGAACTATATGTGTTACAAGTGTCGAAAAACACTTACTCAAACAAGCAAGCAAGTAAACAAACAAACAATCAATCAAACAAGCAAACACAGAAACAAACAAACAAATAAACAAACAAGCAAGCATACAAACAAAGGCAGACAGTACTAAATCAGTGTGTGGTATTGAAAAAATCATGTTTATTTGTCTCAATACTATTAAGATCTTTCAAAGTGAAAGAGAGACGATTCTGAATATCAAGCATAGCAACTACGCTTCAAATTGATTTGTTTTAAACTGCCGATGAATAAGTCTCCTCCCCCCCCCCCCCTAAAAAAAAGCAAACAAAAAACCCACCAGCATTTTTTACCCTTTTATAACATGTCTCTAAAGAGTAATTATTACTGTTTAATTAGCACTGACAGTGTTATAGAATGGTGTTTGTTTCACCTTAGGGTCGACTGGGGGTGAAGGTGTTTTGTTTCAGAAGGTTGCGGTGCGTAAGCGGATTTGTTCGCTTAAATGGGTAGTAAGCGAGTGTTTTACTGTGGTTTGATCCTTCTTTCCTATCTAACATCTATCGTCCTCATTCTCTTCTCCTTTGCTTTTTTTAACGGCACCATGTGGTAACACAACCTTGACTTAGGCAGGCACGTATGTGCTCTTGTTGAGGTGCAACTGAAATGAAACTCTTACTAACACAACTTCTTTATTCCAACACTAAAATGCTACTCAAGGAAGGGAGAATTTGTTCACATCTTTCAAGAGAGAACGTTTAACGCGGAGAGGGTTATGACTTTGTGCCATAAACGGCACCAGCCTTCTTTGTGTTCTTAGGTAACAGCGCACATCAATTCTTGTCTTGTTCTATATACTATTCTTTTTTCTTTCTCTTTCACTTTCTTTCTTTCTGTATGTTTTCCTTTCTTTTTTTCTGTCTTTCTATTTTTCTGTCTGTCTGTCTGTCTTTCTTTCTATCTTTCTTTCTATCTTACTTACGTTTTTCTTTCTTTCTTTCTTTCTTTCTTTCTTTCTTTCTTTCTTTCTTTCTTTCTTTCTTTCTTTTTTTCTTTCTTTCTCATGTTGTTGATATGTATGTCATTTATGATCTATGCTGTAATCATACAAGCATGCTCTGTAAAATGTGTGATTTTCTGTGATGTGGGCCAATGGCCTTAAACATTACATAAACACTTACTTACCGTCTTGATGGTCAAAGGGCTTTAATGGCGACCTTGGACTCATAACGTTATACCTATAAGATAATTGCCTAATTCATTTTTGGCTGGTTTGGAGTTTTTGGCCCTGAAAAGAAGAGAAGAGCCAGCTTGGTAATATAGTTCACTTGGACAAATGAATAATCCAAATATAATAGCGGCTGAGTGCACCAAAATCCAAGCGTATCCTAGAGTCAATTGCTCGAAGAAAAAAAAAGGATTATTTTTCTTAATTTCTCAAAATGGTTAAACTGACTTAGTCCTTTATCTAATGGGCCTGACAGTATGAAGACCGCCGAATTCGTGCCCTAACTGTGGTACTTCATTGCCCCTTCCTCCCTCTCCCCCCCCCAAATTTTTTTTAAAAA